ATTATGTAAAAAAAAAAAAAAAAACCCCTACTCAGGTGTAAAATCCCCTGAAGTAGAGGAAGTAGTAGTGGGAAAATTACATTGGGTGGCATTGTATTTTAGGCTGTCATGCTCTGAAAAGTGCCTCCTGGTGTTGCACTAGCTGAGGACAATGAATTAGTTTTCAAATTGAACCCAAATATTACTTGTGGGATGATACCCAGTTTGTGTAATTAATCTCCAGTGATTCACCACATCAGGCCATTCTGTCACTAAGCTCTTCTACAATTAGAATCATAAGACTGGAAGGGACCTCAGGAGGTCATCTAGTCTGGTCCCCTGCACTCATGGCAGGACTAAGTATTATCTATTCTAGAATGTGTGATCAGCAGCTCTGACATGAGGTTTTTTTAAGGATGAATTCTGTGTGCACCAGCCCCCTATGTTTGCATTTGTTTAAGATTTCTGTAAGCTAGAAGTGACAGATCTTTAGATGGTTGCCCAGTCATAATATTTAGCACTTGTGTATTGTTGACCCCTCAAAATCACTATACAAACGTTAAACAATGTAAAGCTTTTCAGCTTTTGAATGACTAGGAGTTGACAAAACAGCTATTCCCTGTTGTGTTCTCTGCCCCCCTGAACAAAAAGACTTCATTGAAAATCAGCATCTTAAAAGAATGATTATGGATCTTTCAAAAGAACAGTCCAACCAAGGCTGCTATAGTGACACCCTTGTTACATCAGGTCTGGTGTTTAAGGCGAGGGTAGAAGGAAGGAAGAGCTTTGTTTTGTTTGCATGTGTAAATCAACCTTGTTTATTTTTTTTCCCTTTAAGTGCTCAGAGTTTAAGGGACAAAAATGAATAAGATTCTGCTTATACCAGGTGTGAAAAAACAGAAGGAACCAAAATCTATTCTTGTGCCAAAATCTGTTCTCCCTGAAGTCAATAAGGCTACTTAACTGTCTGCAGGAATTGGCCTGTGTTCTCATTCCCTTCTCAGATCACTCACATTGCATGCTTACCCAACATTTTCCACTTGGGAAAGAAGTTAGTGTGAGTTGGGGCAGAAAAATGAGGACTAACTTCAGGTTTATTTAGCTTTAAGTTTAAGGAATGAAACTCAAAAGAAATCAAACATGAGGTACTTTTATGATGGATTGAACTGCTAGAGAACCAGCAAGTGGACAGAATCTGCCTTTAGCCTATTCATCCAGTCTATCATAGCCTGTTATGAAGTGGATTTAAATAATTGAGGACAAGGGGAGGGAGAAACCTACAACATTGTGTGTTGAGCTTCCTCCAGTCCTTTTGCAACCCTTTAAAAGTACAAAGATGCATTGGCCTGTGGAACTAGGCTGAGCATAAGGAAAGAACTTAGTTGCCTGTGCATCACAGAAAAATACATCACAAAAATTGGATTTCTTTGATTTTTAGTACAAGTCAATACAATATCACACACAGTGCATCATAAATCTGAAGCTCCTCACTGGAAGGTACTGTAAAAGTTAAAGTACCAGTATCCAGAATGGGATGGGATGTTTTGTTTTGTCCTACCAATGTGTGGGAATTATTTCCTTATACATGGGAGGGGCAATAGTTGTGGCTGGAGCTGGATAGTGTGTGCGGGCAGGTTCTGTGCAAGCTTCCCACCCTACTGCTCTGGTACTGCCTTTTCCCCCCGCCACCCCCTTGCCCTGCCCCCCCACAGGCACTCACCAGTTGTCCAGAAATAGAACCCAGCACACATAGATGACTGTGATAGGCACTAGGACCCAGGAGGCAGCATCCTGGAGCTGCCTGCCAGCCTCTGCGCAGGAATGGGAGTTTCTTCCCTTCTGGACAGTTAAACTGAGCTCTGGAGAAATGGGGTGGGGGGGGGCAATGCCTACTCAAACCACACCTGCAGCTGGCATGGGTTCCTGCATCTGGCATGTATTTTTAGGGTCCGGTCACCAATTTTAACCAGATACCTGGCAGTGTGTTCCTGCAGCGCAGGGAGAGACAGATGGGAGGAAGTGGAAGCAGCAGGCTTTCAAGTCCCAGGGAGCCACTTTGCCTTTCCTGCTGGCAGGAGGGCTCCTGCAGGGCTGCGTGAGCAAGTTCGCTCCCCCTCCCTGACCAGTAGGGCCTGGGAGGTATAGTTCACAAGCTGTGGTATTTTTTGACAGAAAAGATGTAGAACACGTTTTGCAAAAGTGTATCCCCCCTCCAGAACTGGTCTAAAGATGTTGGGGAAAAGGGGTTATAGGTGGAACACTTCCCTTGTGTTCTGCTTCACCTGTTCAGCCTCCTCCTAATTTTTATAAGCAAAAACAGCCAACCTTGTGAAAACTTGCAAATATAGTGCATCATGGAGTCAATTCCATGCTGAACAGCAAATTTCTATATAGTATTTTGTATTATGGCAAAGTCATGTTGCAAAAGATCATTCTTACATACTAAGGAGTGTAAAGATTTTCAGAGAAAAAACAGGTGGCCTCAAGTGAACATGTGGCTCTTAAGATTGTAGTTAAAGGAGACTTTCACAAGAGCTGAGACCACCACTGTTTCCATTTTACAGACCAGTCAGCTTAACTTCAGTATCTGGAAAGATAATGGAGCAAATAACCAATCAGTCTGTAAACACCTAGAAGATAATTAGTTAAGTAACAGCTAACATGGATTTGTCAAGAACAAATGTCACACCAACCTAATAGCTTTCTTTGACACGGTTACAAGCCTTGTGGTTCACGGGGAAGGATGAGAGCAGTAGATGTGGTATATCTTGACTTTAGTAAGACTTTTGATACTGTCCCAATGACCTCAAACTAGGGAAATATAATCTACTTAGAGCTACTATAAGGTGGGTGCATAACTGTTGGAAAATCAGTGGCTCACAAGCTGGAAGGGATATCGAGTAGGGTCCTGCAGGGATCAGTCCTAGGTTCAGTTCTGTTCAATACCTTCATAAATTTAGATAATAGCATAGAGAGTACACTTAACTTTGCAGATGATACCAACCTGGGAGAGGATGCAAGTGCTTTGGAGGACAGAATTACAATTCAAAATGATCTGGACAAACAGAATGAAGTAAACAATGAAATTTGATTAGGACAAATGCAAAGTATTCCATTTAGGAAGGAACAATCAATTGCATACATACAAAATGGGAAATGACTGCCTACGAAGAAATACTGCAGGAAAGGATAGCCGGGGCCTATCGTGGATCACAAGTTAAATATGAGTCAACTGTAACACTGTTGCTAAAAAAGCAATCATTTTGGAATGTATCAGGAGTATTGTGAGCAAGACAAGTAATTCTTCCACTCTATGCAGATAAGGCCTCAGCTGGAGTCCAATTCTGGGTGCCACATTTCAGGAAAGATGTGGACAAATTGGAAAAAGTGCAGAGAAGAGCAAAAATGATTAATGGTCTAGAAAACATGACCTATGAGGAAAGACTGAAAAAATTGGAGTGGTTTAGTCTGGAGACAAGAAGACTGAGGGGGACATAAAAGTACATAAATGGTTGTTACAGGGAAGAGGGTGAAAAATTGTTCTCAGGCTAGGGCAATGGGCTTAAATTGCGGCAAGAGATGTTTAAATTGGACATTAGGAAAAACTTCCTGTCAGGGCAGTTAAGCACCAGAACAAATTATCTAGGGAGGTGATGGAATCTCCATCGCTGGAGGTTTTTAATAGGTGTGACAAACAGCTGTCAGGAATGGTCTAGTTATTTCTTAGTCCTGCCCTGAGTGCAGGCGATGGGACTAGAAAACCTCGGGAGGCCCCTTCTAGTTCTACACTTATGATTCTATGACATGGGTAAAGTGGTACACGTTTAACTATAATTTCCCCAAATTGTGATTAAAGATTGTTAATGGTGTTTAGGGTTTATTTGTTTTCAATATAAAGGGAAACAGAAGCTGTAGAGAGATTCAAAACAACTTGTTCCTTTAATCAATATAGATAATTAACACTCAAAAGCAACATGTGTGAAAGATAATTTTAAGGCTACAAGTCTAATAGGACAAGTTAACAAATTGAGTCTTTTTATACTGCAAGTTCATTTATTGAAATAGTAGTGGTACTGCACTCTTTACTGGATTACAGTTTCATAACTTAAGGTGAGGGAGAAAACATGTCAGGTCCCAACAGGAGTATTACAAGATCCATACAATCCTAGTTCACTCAAAGTACAGTGAAGGTGTTCATTCGCTTTGGTCATCATCCCAATCTTTCTTTCCTGACGGAGGTTTGGGCCCACCAGCTGGTTTTGCCATGATAATCTTGGGGGAAAAAAATAATTAGATTAGGTAACTCACTTTGGATTTTTCCTTTCTATAGCTTGAGACATGCAGTTTGAGCAGCAGTCACTAAACTTATGCAGATCTGTTACTTTTGTACATTTTAACAGACAAGCTTTTGCCATTGGGTGTGTCCCATATTTCTGCAAATATGTTGCAAGTTGGCATGGCACATCATAAGATGCTGTTTTCCCCAATACAATTTCAGTATTCCCTCAGTTACCTTTTTTAAAAGGGAGAGGGGGATTCAAGCTGTACACTTTCACATCTAAGAAAGATCTGTTTAATATCTAGCTAGTTTGTCAGAGTGACTGGGTTACTGAACACATGCAATATATTACAGGAAGAGTTTAAAGATAAATCTGTAATGCACAAAATCTGAATAAACTGAAAATCTATTTTAAATCCCTGACATCAGGATTTCCCAGCATAGGCAGACTTCCAAAAATGGCAGCTACACCTCTCTCAAGTAGCACCGCACAATTTAGTTTCAGTAACTAAAATGAATTCACTACAGCACAGCAATCTGCCACAAATCGTATTTCAAACAGGTTGTTAAAAAGGTGAAACTGCTCGCACACGTGCCCTTGAAAGCCAACAATACATATTAGCTCTGTGCTGAGTGTGGATACATTCATGCAACAGATGTGTCTCTCAACTCAATATAACAAGTTCCACCGATTTTACAGCTCACTATTTTTCAGGTTAATCTTTCCATTCATCCTTATCCCAATGTCCTTGTTGTTTAGGGGCTTTTGGACAGCCCGCTGGTTTTGCCATAATAATCTACAGAAGTTTTACATGCATATCACACAATTCTGCTAAAGTTCCATAAAATACCAAGTCATTAAACTATCCAGAAAAGCCTTCAACGCATTCCTTCCATTTTATTGTACAAGATGCATTTAAAATACAGATGTGGAAGGTTTTCTTTTCTGAAATACATACTACACATTTTCTTTGAGACAGTTACGTGCTCATACCTGTGAAATTAAGAGCTACCAACTATGGGTCAGGATGTAAATCCAACATGTATGGATCTCAGTGAGATGGCACCTTGCCTCACCTTTCCAAGATCTGAATCTAGCAATATGGTCAGCAATAATATATCTTGGTTTCACAAAAATAAACTGATTTAAGGTTATCAGTTTAGTTTTTATAGCATGTATTCCTGACATGTACAAAAATGTCTCAAGTTAACTCAAAAGTTTGAAATCACGATCTCCCAAAGTCATTTCTTCAACTCACCTGATCTACTCTGAGCACAGTCACTGCAGCATTTGTAGCCAGTTTAATACCCCAGTGTTTTCCAAGATATGTATCTAACACACCAGTTTCCAACATATCCTTCACAGCTGCAGTTTCAGCCTGTCAGAAAAAAATATGAACATGGTTCAAAGTTTCATAGCACCAGATTTTCCTACCTTATTTCAAACTGTTCTACCTTTGTAATCCTAAACACCAACAGCCACACCCACCAAATGGTAACACAAGGACACTTGCCCGATTTTATCCCCTTTCCTCCAAATAAAACATTCATTTGAGCAACTTTTAGAAATGCGAACTGAATCATAAGTGGAATTATCTGAGCAATTGTTCAAGAACATATCCTCACGTCTCACATAACATTACTACATGAACAATGGCTGTAACTAATTTGTCTGCTGAAGAACAAAACATCCATTCTCTAAGCTGTTTGTCTAGCTCACTGATTAATATACTGCTCCAATTACTTTAAAGCTGAACACCTAAAATCTAGAACATAATTTATATCCTTGGGTATTTTATGTGGAGTATTCTTTTGCACAGAACCAAGTATTTTGGCAAGCATAATGTATGACACCATTTACCTCAATATCAAATCCAACATTTTTGTTGCCTTCTTGGTGCACTGCATAAAGTTTGGAGAGAACCTCATTGGCCTTTACTCCCGAATTTTCTGCTAGTGCTCGAGGAAAGGCTTCAAATGCCTCAGCAAATTTCTTGATAGCATACTGGTCAAGCCCAGGACACGTCTAAAGCAAAGTTTGAAAACTGTTTAATATTTTAAAGGAAAAGAAATGGATGAAGCGAGAGGAAAATACATTATTTACCTCTCCATAAGATGCGATCTGCTTGGCCAACTCAATCTCTGTTGCACCACCACCAGGAACAAGACGTTTATCCTGTGAACAAAACCCCACAAGATAATTATAAATGCAAAGTGGTTTGAGGTAGTTTTGTTTTAAAGTAACCTGATTAGATTTTTAGTTTCTAGAACTAATTTCTGCCTTCATAAACAGATATTTTTCTTGGTAGAATATTCCACAAGTGCAGAAATGGCACCAACTTCAAAAAGTGAGGCATTTTATTAGTATGGCTAAAGGTAAAAATCTAGCATCTATTATTTCTAAATGTCTTTGGGAAAAGTTCATTACTTTACTAAAACAATGAAATGGAAGTGATAAGAGTAAATTTGTTTTTATCTCAACAGACAACATGATTTGTTGGGAAAAACAGGAAAGGCACTGTATATTAATACTGCTCCTCAGCCGATCATCTATTCTGGGGAGTCATTATGGAAGAGGCAGAATAAGAACTGCAAGGGACTCAGACTTGGATTCAAACAGTGGCAAAGTGGAAACTATCAGATGTTAAGCTTTCAAAAAGCTTCATGTTTTCTACAGTTTTTCAGCCTGTATTCGCATTGAAGACTCCCCATCTTATTTTAAAATCAGTATCTTAATTGCACAGTTTAAAGACAAAACTTTTGTAACAGACTAAGGGCTGGTCCACACTAACCCCCCACTTCGAACTAAGATACGCAACTTCAGCTACGTTAGTCACGTAGCTGAAGTCGAACTATCTTAGTTCGAACTTACCGTGGGTCCACATGCGGCAGGCAGGCTCCCCCGTCGACTCCGTGTACTCCTCTCGCCGAGCAGGAGTCCCGGCGTTGACGGCGAGCACTTCCGGGATCGATTTATCGCGTCTAGACAAAACGCGATAAATCGATCCCAGAAGATCGACTGTTTACCGCCGGACCCGGAGGTAAGTACAGACGTACCCTAAGTTGTCCTAATTTATGAACTACATATTTTTGTACAGTATCTAAGCATATTTAACACCCTTATCACCAACGATAGATACCAATATCCAGATTTGCTGCTGCTCTCAGTTTCCAATGGGGACGGCAGGAGGTTGGGGAAACGGTCCACAGAGTGCCACCTAAGAGTCACTGATTCTCTGGCCAGGGTGCCGTTTAGCTCTGCCAGCTTGTATTGGTCTCAAACAGATCTTGTCACTCAAGATGGACTAAGCACAGTGCACTCTGACTACAACCCATCTCCTAACTCCAGGGCTGCACGAGTGGCATAGGAATCAGTTACACACCCGCTCTTTGCCCACTGGAGATTCCCCCGTGCTGAGGAGATACAAGTAGTTTCCGCATTCCAAGCAACAGAAGGGAGCAAAGCATGCCGTAAAGTCTTGGCACAAATATCTTGGTCTACAGCTCTGTTTTAATAGAGAAGTATATTCATTTTACTCACCCTAGTGAGTACTTTGAAAGTATTAACACCATCATCTATTGCTCTCTCTATGTCATCCATTAGATTATCTGTAGATCCACGGATTACTATGGTAGAAATGGCACCATCTTCCTTTTCTGTTAAGGAAAGACAGACTTAGTTCTCTAGAAAACATATTAAGATGTAGAACATTTATAAATAAAGTTCTAATCATGACATAGAACCATAATCTCCTATGAATAGAAACATACCATGCTTAAACACAACTACTTGTGTATCCCCAACCTCTGACAAATAAACACTGTCGCAATGACCCATTTCTTCTAATGTAGGTGGAATCTGGAAAAAAGAAGCACAAGTCAGAAAAAGATTCTGTTCATACAAAATAAATATCTCCACTGATGATACTCATTTGCAAACGGCATACCAATTTGGGAAGAGCGGTAGCGCCAAGAGTTTTACACAGCCTCCTGAGATCCCATTTTGAGTTCAACCTTAAATAAATAAATAAAAAAGAGTTCCTTTTACTACCATGTTTCCAAGAACAATTTGAAGTTTACTTTAGTTTGCAAGGAAAAATAAAGGTTTCCTCCATAATTTGGCAGTTCTATGTAATATTATCAGAATTAGTTTATTGGTATCCACTACAACACTACCATGGCATCAACTCCTCTAGTGCATTTCTGCAGTTGCTATTCTATGGTTACAGGAATTCCATGCTAATATTACAGAAATTGAAGTAGTAATGCTTTATTTTTAAGCACGGTTCACTTGGAATCAAATTTTTTTTACTTAATATCTATCTAGCATTTTGAAAGTTTAACTATTAATCCTCAACATCTTTGTGATAGAGGAATAGCTACTATCTCCATTTTACTAATGGGGAAAAAAGTTTAATAAGCTTAACGCTCAAGGCTACTAGGCCAACATCTGGTCTGCTGTATTAGACCATGTTTCATCACAAATAACCTCATGGGATCAAAATGCTGTTTCCCTGAACATGTTACAACTCTTTTGAAGTGTCACTTATTCTGTTTTGTAAACATAATAGCTTTTACATGCACAAGACTTTTCTGAGAGGATCAAAATATGAAAATATAACACTAGCTGTTATGTCTTTTTTATGGGGCTGTCCTACGTTTAATAATTATACCTATACTCAAAAATGTTCACTCATTTTTATAAAGTGAATTTTAGTGCCCATGGAAAATGCTTATCAAAGGTCCTAGGGCAGAGTTCTTCCATTTATGCACTACCTATATTGTTTATACTTCCGCACACCACTGCATACTCTGACTTGGAGGAACCACCATTGTGATAGCCCTACCTCTTATGCCCATTCAACCACTTTACTAAAATCACTAATGTCTTTTTAGAATATTTGATTTTGTTGACTGGAAAATTATTTTCAAATAATGAATAACTACAATATACAGAAAATGCAACCTTTACACCAAAACTCCATATTTTGCAAGGTGCAATCCATGGTCAGGAAACTCCAAGCTATGTTCGGTAACAGACACACCCTAACTGTAACTAACTTAACAGACACTCAATTTCACCCTCTACTGGAGGAAAAATCATCATCCACATTAGGTAAGAATGTTTACATTACATATACCTTTGTATTCTGAGGACTTTGAGGAGACAACAGCAAGTATGGTATGTATAGGTATTGACATTTAAATTGTTTGTACCATTTTAATCCTTACCTGACTAACATAAGATTGTATTTATTGGCATAATGAAGTGCCATGTCTGCCACTTTGCCACCTGTTACTACAACATTTGCACCAGCATCAGCAATTGCCTTGACTTGCAGATCCATTAGATTTTCTTCTCCCTTGCTGAAATTCCTAAGTTCGTCAGCAGTTTTTATCAGTACAGTGCCCTATCAAAAGGAAACATTTTTCGATTTACAAAACACATGCGTATTGTGCCTAGAGGTTTTACATGACATTTTGACAAACCAAAATGAACTTTCCCCTTTCCTGTTCACCCCTGCAACTCATGCTACTTTATCACTATTCCTCAAGTAAAAGCATGAGTGAAACGTGTCGGATACTAAATTGCAGGTCAGCAAGGTTCAGTTCTGGAACCAGGAGAGAAATTTCACAGCTGAAGATCCTATCTCAGGAATGCCTTAGTTTCTAGTCCAGAGTTCAGATACAGGAACTGTTCATATCTGTCCCTGTAGCTGCTCAAGTGTCAAGACAGTGCTTCCTAAAACAGAATACTAACCATATAGAATTTTACATACACACAAACCATCCTGGCTACCAGTTTACTTCTAGAGTTCAGTGTGATTTATGGAGAATGAGGTGTAATATCCTCCACATGGCTAGCACCAAGTGAGCAGCCACATTTTATATCAGCAGAAGCTTCTAAATGGTCTTCCAGGGTAGCGCCAGAACATATCATACTAATTTACTTTAGATGTCAAGTAGGCTTGTATCGCTCTGGCAAGAGGAAAGTCACAACCATCCTTATCCAGACACAGGTGGAAAGATTTTTTCCAGCTACCACTGTTATCTTTAAAATCTAAGGAAGGCTTTACGGAGGCAAAGAAATAGTAAATGTCCCATTTTGAACAAAAAGATAGATTGTCGTCATCCACATGCTCATGTCAGTGCAGCCTAAACCATTTACTACTTTTGACAGCCTTACATTGGACAGAAGGGTGTAATGAATAACATCACTTCGCACACCTGACATGAGTTCTCAGGGGAGCTATACTTTTGCCCAACACTATCATCTAGGACTTTTCAAAGGAAAAAGAATGGAGCTGCATTGCAGTGACTCAATTCACCCCTACCAGAGTCTATAACTTTTCAGATAATTTTGTCGACCACCATGATGTAATATAGGTATCTGCAATTAAGTCAGTTAATTAATTTGCACTTAAATGTCATATTAAACAACCTAGAAGAGCAAAACTACTGTATATTGGGCACACAAGAATATCTTAAACTCTATTTTGACTCAAAATTATATTTGTATGCTAACATTTTGTGTTATATATTATCTGTCAGTGATCTCAGGAAAAGTTTGAAAATGCATCTGCTCAAAGGAACACTTCATATTAAAGTTAGAGAAAAATATGGTTTAGACAGCTATGATAGAAAACTCTGAACTTCATTTTAACATAGAAGCTCAAGTCCCCTATTAAAAAAAGTTGTCACCGTCAATTATCAAGGATATTTAAAGTTAATATTAATCTGAGAATAATACAGACCAAGTACTGCATATGTACATAAATTGCTATGGGACTTCTTTTGGGCACCTACATACCTTAGTTTCAGTTATCATGCCATCAAAAGGACAGGAATACACAGCTATTTTGGCATCTTTGACAGAAGTAACATCTCCTTCAGTTTCTTTTTTAAAAACCATACCATGCAGGACTGAAGAGGCAGAGATACCAGAGCCCTAAAGAGAATAAAGGGGACAGATAAAGATCACATTTCAGTACACCAATCCACCACAATAAAGCTACACTTGCTCTTTTAAAAAAGGAAGTCTCATGTTTGAACATGCTTAGACATGTTTCTATTCCAGGATGAGGAGATTTATTCCATGGCAGTAACAATTAGAAATTTTTAGTGATCCCTTTTTCTGCTCCCAGTCAGGAAGAAGGATTAGCAAGAAAGAAGTTGATGGGAAGCACAAGTTTGGCCCATTCTGTCATCCTTACTGAGGTCTAATATCCCACTGACAGAGTAAGAACAACAGGATCAGGCCCGTAACATTCTGCATCCTCCCCCACCCCAGCATGAACATCTGGGTTGCATTTTAATTGAAGGTACGATTACTGAAAAACATATTGGTTGAGCTTTTAGCTCATGAAACTGATTTGTTTAAGGACCAAACACTTAGAGTTCTGCCCCTGAAGTCTACAGGCAATTCAGCTCTGAGCCAAGTATTGCACAGAAAATATCTTGAAACTAGGAATGCCAGAGTTTGGTAAAAATAATTTAATTGAATGTGTTATAACAATATATCTACATTATTGAAGCCGTGCCTCAATCTATCAAAAATAAAGACAATCTTAAAGTCTAGGCTGGGCGAGGGACAACAGAAATGTAACATTTTAGGATCCAAAAGTTAGCTATTTTCATTACAGAGTTATCTAATACAATAACAGGAATACCAAAATTTATTCCTGGAGGAATTCTGCGCAAAACGCAGAATTAATATCCCCTGCAGTTATTTCTCCCCCTCCCCCGCCACAAAATAATTGATTCTGACAGGGAGGCATGAGAGAGGTGATGCTGCAATTACACCTTTCGCCAACCAGGGGCTGATATGGTGCCAGAAGAGAGGGCAGCCTGCTGCGGAGACGGAGGAGGCAGAAGCTGCCTTCCTCGAAGTGCCATGGCCGCGGGACCAGGTTAGGAGGCACGAGATATGGGGGGGACAAAGAGAGTGGGGCACATGGAGCTGCTGGGGAGTCACAAATTGGGGTTCAGAAGGGCTAGTGAAGGTACAGGAGTTAGTGGGGTAACATTAAGCCAAGGGCTGAATGGGAGTGAGGGTACAGGGCCACAGGGGGATATGCCTGGCTGAATGGGGAGTGCGCGTGCAGAGAAGATGTGCCTGACTGAAAGGGAGTCAGTCTGTGTCTGAATGGGGGATGCTCCCCAACAATCCCTCCCACCCCCCACAAAAAAACTGTCCCACCCACGCGTAACAACCTTCCAGGTTCACTCCCAGGGCTCCTTCCCAGCAATTACTTCCCTCCCGCTCAGCTCCTCCGTTGCCACTGACTCCCCCAAACTTTCACACTGCTTCTAAGTGTGTGGCAAATATGTTTCTGAATTGTAGTTTAAATGAATTACTACTCAAAGTTTCATATTTAATATGCGTAGAAAGGAATCTATTTGTCGAAAAACATTTCATGAATCTTTTTTTGTTGTCTGTTCCAGACATGCTTGCTGACAAGTATTGTGAAATAAATTACCAAAATAATTGAAACTGGCATGGTTATATTGGGTTATTCTGACAAATAAAATATGCAGAATTTTGAAGAATTTTAAAATATTGTGTGCAGAATTTATAATTTTTTGGCGCAGAATTCCCCCAGGAGTAAGAATTAGTCATGCTTTAGTGAAAAAAGTTCAGAGCTTACCAAAATTTTGCATACTCTGATGCTGTCAACATTGAAATGACCAGAATTAGGAAGAATAGATACTGTTTGAAAAAAGAAACATGTATTATATAATTTAAGTGCAAAGTACAAATGTGACACCAGAAAATCATATGCATCATTTATATAGAAAATACTGTATTAATAAGATATTTGGTTTTAAAAGCCTTTAAACAAATAAAGAGATCAAGAAATGAACTGCCAAATTTTACGTTAGCAGGAAACAGTTACCCTCCTCAATGATCAGTTACAGATACGTATAGGTAGTGCAATGCTGAGAAAGCGGAACTCTTCACTATGAAATAGCAGTATCTGGCCAGCAAAAGAACACAAATCAATGAAGCCAGCAGGCCAAGTTTAGCCTGTGCCCACTTACACTGAGGCTGAATTTGGCCCAGAGTATTTTGAGGAAAATTTTGCTCTAATGATGAGAGTTGTATTCTTGGGCTCTACAAGATGGAGAGCTCTATATAACAAAACTCACCAACATCACACTTAGATTAAGTCGTGCATTTAAGAGCATGAGTGCAACTGCAAAGATGAAAATAGATTTTCATCTTGAAAATGTATGGCTTACTAGAAAGCCATTTGGACTAACCACAGCTGGGCCAAAATGAGCATGAAGAGAATTCAGTGGGTAAGACGAAAAGAAATACCACCTCCCTCTCTCCCTTGCCCCCAAAGGCATGAGACCTGATATATTCAGCTCATTTAGCCTAATACATGAACAGCTGGCAATGCCTTTCACCTATGACGTGATCACTTGAATAACATAAAGATTAAAAACAAGCCTGTATTCAGTTTAGATACATACAAGATGCAAACTTGTTTACTTACCACATGCCTGAGCAATAAGCTTTGCCAGGAAGATTTCATTGCCATATTGTTTACTCATTACTGAGGTGTGCAGCAAAGATGCCACTTCTTCAACATCATGCAGATTCTTTGCAGAACAGCATACTAAGTCAGGAAGAATTTCTAGGGCTTTCTTGCAAGCTTTTTCATAACCTTCTATCACCTGTAATGCAAATGACAAAGTTCACTAACATTCTAACCTCCTCCACCTAACTGTACATTCATGTTCACTATGTTTCCTTCTGAAAGAGTCACAAAGTATCAATGCATACATTATGTATATACTGTCATTTGAAAGTTGACTAAAGGGAGCAGCTCAAAAGGGATGGAGATCATCAAGTAATACATAGCAAGTATTCAATAATATTATAGCTGTGATTTATAATACACAACCCAAGGTCACTGATTAACCCATATTAGTTATCATCTACCAGTGTTCATGCAGCATGAATATTAAATTAACTACATGCCTCTGAAACTGAAAGTCCCATCCTCAGAAGTTCCTCTGCTTGCTCAAGAAGGGTTCCAGCAAAAACAAGGACAAAGTTTGTTCCATCTCCAACTTCTTGCTCTTGCATATGGGAAGCCATTACAATCATTTTTGCAGCAGGGTGTTGGACCTGTTAAAGGAGTTAGACATATTAATTTAACTGTTAATATCCCGGTTAGTCAACTTTAAAAGTATATAGCCCTGAATATATGTATCAAATATAAGCTCCTTTTTGGTTAAAAATCTGATCTAAAATTAATCAGGATTATGAACTAGATGGGGAAAAAGCAAGTTAAACAATAAATTACACAATAAGCAAGAGTATAAGATATGAAAATTGCAAGACTCTGGAATACTGCTGTGGGGTTAAGACAATAGAAAAAAGGCACTTCCTTTCTTCCCCATTTCTAATTGACAGCTGCATTATTTTTATGGGATACCAGTGTGGCCTTACAATCACACATGATCACACATGTAGATTACCTTAGACTTTCAACTTACCTTGTCAAGATAAACTTCAAGCAACACTGTGTTTTGTGTATGCATATATACACAGTTGATCAGCTCTAAGCTATACTTTCCAATCTGCACAAAAATGGCAGCTCTTCCCCCTTCCAATAAACAATTTAATAGAAAACTGCTTTATCTATACTTGGATATATTTATAGCTACAATTATGGTGTCTAAGCCATGGTGACATGCAAGTTTGATTATAATAAGCAATTAAGACTCCTGTATTTAAGCACTCTACTGAAATTTTACAGTACTGAGAATACTGTAAAAACAAGTCTAACCGTGCATGTAAATACAGATTTAAAAATATCAAATTAAAAAAGCAGTAAATACATTTTCTTAAACATTGTGTGTTTGTTCACTTGCTAATTTTATAATTCAATCATTTATAATGGTCCCCTCTTTAAAGTAAATTAGGAAAGTTCTATAGCAGTGATACTCAGACCTCAGTGGTTCAGGAGCCAAATTAGCAATCAACATCACCAAAAAGAGCCATAGTAGTGTGAATGCATTGTTTATTTACTATTTTTATATATTATTCTCACAGCAAAATAACTGACCAAGTATTATTATTTTATCAACTACAATCGGTTAATAACATAGTAAAATAACCTGATTGGTTAAGGATATTAAAACACTGTGGTTTAATATCATGTGCTGCAAAGAGCCGCAGAAGACAAACTGAAGAGCCACTTGTGGCTCAGGAACCTCAGTCTGAGTATCACTATTCAATAGCATACACACAACATTATTCATGGGTTGACACAGAGGCATCACACAATTGAGTTTCTATTTAACTGTTGCAGCAAATGACGTCACCTCAGCTTCTGCATAATTCTATTAACTTTCTCATTGCAGGATGTCACATCCCCAACGTCCCTAAAACCAAAAGTGAGAATTCTACGCAGGTAGAGGGACATGTGAAAGTTGGCACCAACAAGAAATTAACGTTGCACTTATTTCTCTTAAACAAGAGTCTTCCACACAAGATGCCAGCAATTACAATCCATGTCTCTTTCATTCCTAAATTCTACTCCTATTTTGAGGAGGAAGAGAGGCAAATACCAATAATGACATTCAATAATCCAAGTGTCTTTGCAGCAGGGCCTTTCTGTCACTACTAGAGCTCTGAAAAGCCCTTCTATTTTTTTCTGTTGTGTGTATATTTGCTACACTCCTCTCAGGATCCAATTATGAATTAGATCATTTAGAAACTGTGGCCCTGATCCTATAAACTTACCCTTATTAATAAAACTGAGTAAAAGCCTTAGTTGTTGAAATGAACTTTAGCTAGTTGGTAATCTTTTAACATGAAAAAGCACTTACCTCCAACTCCCTTAAGATCGTTGCAGCATCGTTTGTCACGAAAAGCTTCTCAAGATGATTGATAACCATTTTGTTCATTCCTAAATGATAAAAAGCTCATCATTCTTATTTTACACAACTGTAAATACTTTACAGTTTGAATTGGTGTTATTTGGTTAAATTCCTCATCTCATGCAATCGATGGACTATTTTTGTTCTTCATATAAAAGTATTTATAACAAAGAAGTTTACCATAATCAGTTTCCCCTGTAAAGAAGTGGTTTGGGATATTTTGACCTTCATAATTTTTAGCCCTATAAACATTTGTAAATTTGGATTGAGGAATCTGTGAGACCTCTCTCTTCTGAAATAAAGTTTTGAAGTTACATTAAGGGGATACTAACAATTTAAACAAAATTAGTGTTTTGTAATTCTATTACATAATTTAAGATTACTACCAAAAATGTACCGCACAATATGTTTTTCAGTTTATTTTGTGCATTTGATAGTGCAGTGTGTAGTCAGTTTAACCATATCCCCTACACAGTCAATGTTTCTTCACCTTCTGTGGATCTTTCACATAGCAGCAAATGGAACAAAAAAAACTAAATTAGTACAATGATGATAATTCTACAAAAACAGACTTGAGGACTCAGAGGCAGCTATAGGACATTAAACTTTTTTTAAAAAATTGACCAGACTGAAAATGCTCCTTTATTGAAATCATGTGACTAAAGACATTTATAACTGAAGTTTTACCACAAACAATGGCATGGTCATCCTTCAAGAAAAACAAATATAGCTTCTTTGTACATAAATATTACAATAAACAGTATAAAATTAGAGAAGGTTACCATTTGGTCCAAGAGCTGTACGGGTTGTTTGGGCAAGCTCCTTACATGCCTGTATGTTCCTAAATACAGCTTCTTCTAATCCTGAAAAATGCTGTCAAAAAAATGTTTATTGCTTAGAATCAGAGGTTCTAACAAAAAAAATCTGGAAGAATTACAGTCACTTGTCATTTGACAGCCAGGATGAAATGCTGGCTTCACTAAAGTCAATAGCAAATCTCCCACTGAGTTATTTTGGAGTGAAATCCTGGCTACACAAAAGTTTAAACAAAAATTCAATCCTCCTCTTTCAAAAACAGTGACAAAGAAGCTAACATACACTGGCTGTCAACTGCAGAGTTTAGCAACTAAAGCAAATTTATGAATATGAAAGAGGAAAGTTGGGTCAACACTCAACAGATTGAACCTCATAAGTCTGTCCAAGTTAATGAGGGACTTCTGGTGAGGATATTGGCTTATGGAGGGCATGACAAATGTCTTCCACACCTACTTGCCTGAGAAAAATGCACCATCACTCCCATCAAGATCATACCCCCAAAGTTATACCATTTACACCACTCCCACATCAGTAAGTCAAATATGCCCCACAAGATAAATAATTTCCAACTCCCTCCCACATACACCTCTACCCCAATATAACACTGTCCTTGGGAGCCAAAAAATCTTACTGTGTTATAGGTGAAACCACGTTATATTGAACTTGCTTTAATCCGCCGGAATGCGCAGCCCCCCCGGAGCACTGCTTTACCACGTTATATCCGAATTCATGTTATATCGGGTTTCATTATATCGAGGTAGATGTGTACATACATCCATTTGTAAATTTAGAGCTCCTATCAGTTAATAAATCATGTCTCCTCTCTAAATAAATCACACATCTCTGCAAAGCTCATCTGGGTGCCCTCTAAAAGTCCCAGAGAAAGCTCTGTTTCCAAGCTCTCTCTCACAACTTCAGGAAAGGTAGAAGCAGCTCCAGCTGTTCTGTTCCTGTCTCTTCTTGTTAAAGGAGAACCAGCATCTGTGCCATTTTGCCTCCCCATTCCCCTCTCCTTTCTACAAGAGTTCAGCAGCTCCTGCAACTATTCCCTACCTCCAACTACTCTCTTGTGAATAAAGAAAAGCATAAAGTTCCTGAGTTGCTTGCGTCTCCCATTCTCCATCCTGTTAAGCAGCAGTACTCAGAAACCTCTGTTGCTTTCTTCTCCCTTCCAGAGGGGGAGTCAGCAATAACCTAGTCCAGGGGTGGCCAGCCTGAGAAGGAGCCAGAATTTACCGATGTACGTTGCCGAAGAGCCACAGTAATATGTCAGCAGACCCCCGTCTCCCCGCACTCCTGATCAGCTGTTTCGGGGCATGCAGGAGGCTGGGGGGGGGGGGGGGGAGGGGAGGGTTGAAAGCGAGGGCAAGGCAGGCTCAGGGGAGGGCTGGGAAGGGGTGGAGTGGGGCCAGGGCCTGTGGCAGAGCCAGGGATTGAGCATCCCCCAGCAGTGAGCACCCCCCAGCACATTGGAAAGTTGTCTCCTGTAGCTCCAGCCCCAGAGTCGGTGCCTATCTAAGGAGCCGCATATTAACTTCTGAAGAGCCGCATGTGGCTCAGGAGCCACAGGTTGGCCACCCCATACCTAATCCCCCTCTGTCCATTTATTTGAGCAAAGTTTCTATTCTCCTAGGCAGGTCTGTCAACTTGTTAAATACACCTCTACCTCGATATAACGTGACCCGATATAACGCAGGAAAGCAGTGCTGGGGGGAGGGCTGCACTCTGGTGGATCAAAGCAAGTTCAATATAACGCTGTTTCACCTACAACGCGGTAAAAAAATTTGGCTCCTGAAGACAGCATTATATCGAGGTAGAGGTGTCTATTAATTCAATGTTGAGTTTGGCATTGTACTAAGCATTTTGCTTCTCTGGAATTTTGGTTGTAAACAGTATAGTAAGAATAGACTGATATAAGGGTATTCATTGGTAACAGGAGTGAGTTAATTTATTAGCATTTGCATTCCACAGCTGGGGCTTGTTTGTGCTAAGCACTGTGTGGCTATATATCAAAACAATTCCTTGCCCAAACAGCTTGCAATATCGAAAGCCAAGCAACCTACACAGGGTGAGGGATCAGAGTCTCAATAAAAACAGAGTTGTGTTTGAACAGCCTGACAGCTGCTCAAAATTACCCACTGTCAGTTGCCTAATGCTTTAGGGGCATTACTGTTAATACTTTCATAGACTCCAAGGCCAGAAAGGACTCTTGTGATCTAGTCTGACCTGTATATTATAGGCCATAGAATTTCCCCACAATAGTTCCTAGATCATATATTTTAGAAAAACATCCAATCTTGATTTTAAAATGGCCAGTGACGGAAAAAGGTCACCACAAACCTTGGCAAATTGTTCCGCTGGTTAATTACTCTAACCGTTAAAAATATACATATTTCAATCTGAATTTGTCTAGTTTCAATTTCCAGCCATTGGATCATTTTATATCTTTCACTGTTAACCTGAGGAGCCCATTATTAAATATTTGTTCTCCATGTAGGTACTTTTAGATTGTAATCAAGTCACTCCTTCACTTTCTCTTTGTTAAGCTAAAAAGACTGAGCTCTTTCAATCTACCACTATAAGGCATGTTTTTCTAATCCTTTAATCCTTCTCGTGGCTCTTCTGTCAACCCTCTCCAATCTGTCAACATCCTTCTTGATCTACTGACACCAGAATCGGGCACAGGATTCCAGTGGCGGTCACGCCAGAGCCAAATACAGAGCTACAATAACCTCACTGCTCCTACTCAAGTCTCCCCTATTGATGCATCCCAGGATTACAGTAGCTCGTTTGGTCACAGTATCGCCCTGGGAGCTCCTAGTCACCTGCTTATCCACCGCAAGGCACAACTGTTTTCAGTCACCGCTCAGGCAACGGGCCGCGAGCCCAGGGCAGATGAAAAGGGGAGATTCGCTCCAGCCCGGGCCTGCAGCCGGCTCGGCCCCGCCCAGCCCCTTCCCAGGTTGCAGCTGCGGGCCCCGCCAGCAGCCTCCAGGGCGGCCACGCGCGAACCCGCCGTGGAGCAGGGACCGGGGCGGGGGGGAGAAGCTGCCCCCGAGCCCGCATCTCGCGGCCGGCGCCCCCCGCCCCCCACTAGTCCGAGGGGGAGGGGCACCGCGGACACGACAGGCCCCACCCTCCTCAGCGCGTGGAGCCGCAGGGTCCAGCCCGGGCTGCGCTTCTGGAAGCTTCTCCGGCCCGGCCCCGGGGGCGCGCGGGAACCCCAGGCCCGGTCCCGCTCTCACCTTGGCGCCTTCTTTCAGCATCTGGGCAAAGCCCGGGGCCTTGGGCACGTGCATCGCCATGTCCGCTCGGAGCACTGAGGCCAGCCACGCGCCGTGATGGACGAGCTGAACCACGGGAAACGGGAGAATGGAGGAAGCTTGCGCGCGCAACTCACAAGCCCCTCCCCTGGCACGCAGGCGCAGAAGGAAACAGCCGCGCCAGGCTGCGGCGGGCTCCCTCCTTCCTCCCAGGGAAAAGCGAATGATTCCTAGAGAACATCGATCGGAGGGCGGCCGGAGGCTGGTTCGAGGACGCGCGGGAGGAGGAGGTGGAGTCCCTGTGACAGCGGAGGGGACGAGTTGCGCGCGCCCACAGCAGCAGCCGCCTTGCGCCTTCTCCCAACGGCCGGACTGCGCTGCCTCGCCTCGCTCTGCAGCCGCGAGCCGGGCTTCGTCCCTGTCCCTGCGCCTGCGCAGCCAGCCTGTGCTGCGTGTAAAACCGGGTCCCTCTACACCCCCTGGTGAGCCCCGTGTGGCCGCACACACGTCAGGCTGAGTGGGGGCAGCAGGGACTCAGGGCCCAGCACGGGGCGGGGGTAGCTCAGCAGACCCGAGATGACTCAGGCCCTAAGCCCTGTCATTTTGCAGTGTGGACAGGGCTCAAGTCGGAGCTCCCAGCCAGAAGCTCTGCGACGGGCACTTCCGCCGCCATAGCACGGCTGTGGGAGCCGGGGCCAGTAATTGTAAACCCAGGTTTGCAATGTAATGTGGATGCTCAAGTGTGGGTTTGGAAACTCCCAAGTCCAGGTTCCACAGACCCAGGTTTACAACACAGTGTAGGCATGCCTACCGTGCCCAGGGCTTTAGTTACTTGGCTCTGTGTTTCCAGAGAAGGGCTCCCTGTCCCCCTCTCCCATGTGGGAGAT